AAAGGATTTCCCAGGATATGTTAAAGACTATTACATTTACCTACAGTCACTAAAATTAACTAAAATATTATGTATACCTTCACTTGTTGCACGTTCCCTACTTTCATATAATGGCAAATTTAGAAACCACGAAAAATGTGCTTCTTCGGTGACTAATGAAACCATTCGGGACCAATTTTCGAGACTGCATAGATGGACTTAAAACTACTAAAAACTACAAAAACTTGAAACTACTTTTAACTTATCAAACGATTCCTAATCTTTGACAATACATGTTTGACTTAATTCACCACGATCTTGAAAACTAACCAGATCGGCGTGACGCAAGTCCATGGTCCATTTAATATTATATAAATATCCGAAAACATTAAAACATTTGAAATAAATCTCATCTCACTGTTTTTGTATTTTTCACTTGGTTGCTGAAGTAATGAAGAATTGAAAATTCATAAGGGAAAATTATAGTTTTTGTAAGTTTTATCTTAATATCTTAAAAACTTGTAGACTTATTGAGAAATGACAAATCAACGTGAGGTAGTAAATTTAATAACCTTTAATTTGATACATCGTCCTGTTTGTAACAATTAACGCATTCCATAGATATTGCAAGACAAAGTTTTATTTTTGAAATTCATACACTTTGATTGAATTGCGCGGGCTAAAGATAAGTTTTAAATTAATCTTTCGTGGCCAATAACAATTGGCTTAGACATAAGACATCATAATATTACTATTACAAGACGGTCAAATGCCTTTTATTTTCGTTTAATTTTGACAATTTTTCTTTTGTTAAAAGTGGTGTATATTTTCTCCATACAAAGACGACATGTTGATAATGAAATTGCTTCTCAAATTGAATGCAGCCGCAGCAGTCGTAAGTTCGGGCGGAGCCGAACATTAAATACCCGGCGCAAGTATTAAATATATGTGCTTTCACCTTTCCGAAAGCTACCGCTACATGATAAGCCAGGGTGTATCAATTTTGAATAAATAAGCGTCCTTAAATTTCGAAATATTGAAGTTTCATGCATTTCTGAAACCTACCTTTATATGAAAAGCGGCCGTAATTTTAGTCCGATTTCAATAATTTTCAACCTTTTGCTTTCATGTGGCAATCGCAATAACCATACCGAGTTTGGTACAAATTGGTATACCGGTTACCGAGATACATATATGTGATCATAAGTAGGCGGTGCCACGCCCATTTTCCAAAATTTTATCATAAACGTATTTTTTGGTAAATAATTGTTGTAAAAATCAATTCTGAATAAATTAGCTTTATTATTTACTGATTTATCGAAGATTATGTATTTCTCTAAATTACCGTTATATGGGATGTGGGCGTGGTTATTGTCCGATTTGTAAAATTTTCGGCCATTTGCTATGTTGTACCAAGGCCAATAAGTGCGCCAAGTTTGGAAGAAATGGGTGCAGCGGTTACCAAGATATACACATGTAACCATAAGCGGGCGTGGCTACGCCCATTTCCCAAAAATTTATAATGTTCTTATTTTTCGTCTGAAAATTATTGTAAATATCAATTTTGAGTGAATTATCGTCAGTAGTTACTAAAATATCGCAGTTTTTTGTATTTCTGGAAGTTACCGTTATATGGGAAGTGGGCGTTGTTACCGTCCGATTTCGCCTATTTTCAATACCAAACTACCTTGGATAAATGAAAACCTGCAAACCAAATTTCGTTGAGATATCTCAATTTTTGCTTGAGGTATCGCGTACACGGACGGACAGACAGACATGGCTTAATCGATTTCTCTATTCATTCTGAGCATTTATGTATACATTTGTCT